GCTCCTTCGGGAGGAGACTAGACTTTCAACACAAGCCACGCTAGACAAAGGGGAAGCTGAAACTACATTTGTTGCTAGTAAAACCTTGGGAAGGACATCGCAGAAGGATTTTTCTAAGGTGCAATGTTTTGAATGCCGAGAATTTGGCCATGTTGCATCTCGTTGCAAGAAGAAGAATGCTTGTGTTTATTGCAAACAATCTGGACATATTATTACAGATTGTCTTGAGCTGAAGCAAAAGGGGACTAATTCCAAGCAGAAATCCAATCATTGAGTATATCAAGCAACTAGTTCTCGATGCCCTAAATCAATTCCTACACTGTCATCTGCATCATCTGCTACAAATAATCCTAGTTTTGTGGAAGGCAAAGATTCACCTGTCTCAGATGAAGTTCAAAAATTGGTACAAAATTCAGTATCCTCAGCTATTGCTTCTGCTTTTTCTGCTATTGGTCTATCTGGTAAGAATTCAGCATTTACTTCTTTTGTAAATCCTCTTTGGTTTATTGACTCTGGTGCTTCAAATCATATGACTAGAGCTCATGCTATCTCTAGTTTAGCCAAACCTTTCCAAGGGAATAATAAAATTGAAACCAAAAATGGTGAAAATTTTGATATAGTTGGTACAAATAATCTTACATTATCTGTGGCATCTCAATCCTCTTTTCATTTGCCAAATGTCTTTCTAGTACCCAAATTAACTACCAACCTAATTTCTGTTGGACAACTTATTGATGATTTTGATCATGTTGTTTCTTTTTCTCGTTCTGGTTGTGTTATACAGGACCGTCGCATTGGGATAGTGAAAGGGAAGGGGCGTAGGATTGGTCGCTTGTTTGCCTTGGAATTTGACAAAGGACATAGTGATGCTGGTTTATTTGTTTCTTCTAATAAAGATGTCTCTAGTTCTCATAATATTTGGCACTTATGGCATCGTAGACTTGGTCATCTCAATGTTAAGAGATTAGATACATTATTTACTTCTAGTCTTTGAATAATAAAACTTTGCCATTGGATTCCATTGATAAATCTTGTATTAGTTGTTTTTTGAGTAAAAGTGCAAACTTACCCTTTCCAACTCATTCTTCAACTCCAACTAAACCTTTTGATTTGATACATAGTGATGTTTGGGGTCCTTCTCCTGTTTCATCTAGATTGGGATATAAGTATTTTGTTTTATTTATCGATGATTGCACAAGATTCACATGGATATATGTTATGCGACACAAATTTGAAGTGTTCTCTCATTTTAAGACCTTTTTGTCCATGATTAGAACACAATTTGATACTAATATAAAAATTCTTCGTTCTGATTCTGGGGGTGAATATTTACCAAAAGAATTTCAAGAATTTTTGAAGGTTGAGGGCATTCAGTCTCAGAGGTCATGTCCTACTACCCCACAGCAAAATGCTATTGCTGAAAGGAAAAATCGTCATATTTTAGAGGTAGTTAGAACTTTGTTATCTACTTCTCATGTTCCTCCTAATTTTTGGGTTGAGGCTGCTTCAACAACAATCTATCTCATTAATCGTATTCCTTCTGAAGTATTGCATAACACCTCTCCATATTACTCCTTGCATAAATGCCATCCTGATTATTCTCGTTTACATGTTTTTGGTTGTGTGTGCTTTGTTCATTTACCATCTCATGAAAGGACAAAATTATCAAACCAAGCTGCCATGTGTGTTTTTGTTGGATATGGCGTTGATCAAAAGGGTTTTTTGTGTTATGATCCAAAAATTGGTAGAATTCGTATTTCTAGACATGTGGTTTTCTTGGAAAATTTATTTTATTTTGATGCAATTGCAAAACCCAATAATTCCTCACCTTCTGTGTTGCATGACTTTTCGCTTGATCATAATGCTCCAGCAGAACAAGTTTCCATTGATCAATTCCATGTAGCAGATGAACAACCTCAAACTTGTTCCTTTCACCAACCAGAAGATGGTACACCTGTGGATGCTCAATCAGTAAGTGATTCTAATATTGCTTCTAATGCCTCTACTAATTCCATTGTTTCTTTACGTCGTTCTGCTCGTACTATTCGTCCACCTGATCGTCTTAACCTTTTTACCTTTGTCTCTTTGTTGACAAAATTAGATTTTGTTGATATACCTCGTTCTTACCAGGAGGCTGTTAGCATTCCTTGCTGGAAGGAAGCTATGGATTTTGAATTAAGTGCCTTATTGGAGAATGATACTTGGGATATGGTACCTTGTCCTTCTAATGTGTCTATTATTGGTAGCAGGTGGGTCTTTTCTGTTAAGCTCAAAGCAGACGATAGTATTGAGTGGTATAAAGCAAGACTTGTTGCCCAAGGTTATAAGCAAGAGTATGGAATTGATTATATAGAAACATTTGCACCAATGGCTAAAATGACTATAGTGAGATTACTTATTGCTCTTTCAGCAATGCATCAGTGGCCTATTTCTCAAATGGATGTGAAGAATGCTTTTTTGCATGGGAATTTGAAAGAAACTGTTTATATAAAGCCTCCTCCAGGTTATTCACATTCTAAATCCATGGTTTGCAAATTAAAGAGATCATTATATGGTCTTAAGCAAGCTCCTCGAGCTTGGTTTGAACGCTTCCGTCAAGTTATTGTGGATGCTGGGTGTGTTCAGAGTTCTCATGATTATTCCTTGTTCATGCATAACTCTACGCAAGTTGTTACTCTACTTTTGATTTATGTCGACGATATGCTTATTACCGGTAGTAATAAGGAAGGTATTGCTAAGTTGAAAGAGTTACTTTGTCGTTCTTTTCAAATGAAAGATTTGGGGCCACTGACTTATTTTCTTGGTTTAGAAGTTCACTCATCTTCTCGAGGTTATGCGATGAATCAACGGAAGTATGTTCTGGATTTGATCCAATTTGCAAATTTATCTGATGATAAATGTGTTGACACTCCAATGGAAGTAAATTTCAAGCTTAGGAAGGAGGATGGTGAAAAACTCTCTAATCCTAGCTTTTATCATCAACTTGTGGGTCACCTCCTTTATCTTACTATGACTAGACCTGATATTGCTTATGCTGTGCAAGTGGTTAGTCAATTTGTTGCAGATCCTCGGTGGTTACATCTAACGGCTGTTCTTCGCATAATTTGATATCTTCGTGGCACTATTTCGAGGGGACTTTTCTTATCCTCTCATCCTTGTATGCAATTGCAAGCTTATGCAGATGCTGATTGGGCAGATTGTCCTGATACACGTCGCTCAACCACAGGTTGGTGTGTGTTTCTTGGTGATTCCCTTATTTCTTGGAAATGCAAGAAATAGAAAACAGTGTCCAAATCCACTGCTAAAGCTAAATACCGAGCAATGTCTTCAACATGTAGTGAATTGACTTGGCTTCGAGGATTTTTACAGACACTTACTTTTCCCACTCCTCCTTCACCTCTTTATACTGATAATATGAGTGCTATTCGTATTGCATCCAATCCTGTCTTTCACGAGCGTACCAAGCACATTAAAGTGGATTGCCACTTTATACAGAATATGTATCTTGCAGGTGCCATTACTCTTCTTTATATTGCTTTTGAGCATCAAATTGCAAATATTTTTACAAAGGCAATGACAACTGCACGACACAAGCTTTTAGTGAGCAAACTGACACTAGTTTTCCAGCCTCAATTTGAGGGGGAGTGTAGGAAATAGGCATATTTGGTAATTTTGTTTTATATTAAGGGTTTTTATGTAACTTTACATTTTATATAACCTAATATAAATATGCTGCTAAGGGTGAGCAGCTCTGTAAGTTGTTTTGCACCCTCCACTTCTGCCTCACTTTACAAAAGGAAGGTGAAGCATTTACATAACTTTGAGTTTGGTCTGCGTTTAGTACTCAGTGCTATAACAAGAAGACCATGAATCACATTCTACATCAAACTTGAACATTAGGTCAACGATAAGCCAGGAAATTAATAAAATTTTCTGCATTAAAAATTCCTATAAACCATGTAGCAACGTAATTTTTTATTGTTATTTTAAAGATTAGAGGTTTGGTAATTTTTTTTACTTTATGGCCTTCGTTTGGTTGGTAAGTTTGAAATCAAAAGATTAGTTGGTAAGTCTGGATTCAAAAAATTGATAAAATTTTATCTGTCAATCTGTCATACATTGTCTTGTTGGTATGGGAAGAGGATTCTGCCGATCAAAAAAAAAGTACAGGAAGGTTTCTCACTTAGTATAGACCAAAGGATAAATGTTAGGATTTCACACATAAAAATATCACTTTTAAAATTTTTTTTAATAAAGAGTACCACATTTTTTTCAAATTAATTAATATTATTATCTTTTAAAGCTTTCTAATTAGACATCATACTAACTTCTTGATTTTACTATTCAATGATTAATTGAATGTTGAAGCTAAGCTGGCAGAGGGATTCAGTCTATGGAATCCACTTAAATTGCTAATATGTAGAAAAATGAAAGGTGGCTACTAATTTAGACAATTAATTTGTTGATTTGGGCAATGCAATAATAATAATAATAATAAAAGTAAATGGATGCAAAAAAAATATAAATTTTGGGACTTTAGGGTGGTTATTTTCTTTTTCTCTTTTTTTTTTCTTTCTGTATTGTCCAAATCGGTAAATTAATTATCCAACTTTCGTTTTTTTTTTTTTCTTTTGACTTGTAAGGGATTTAAGTGATTCTCACAAACGAAATATGTCTAACAACTCAGCTTTAACATTTAATTAATTTTTAAATATTAAATTAGAAATGTGATATCTTTAATTAAATTTTTTTAAAAGATACTCTTAAATCAATTAGTTCAAAAGAAATGTAGTATTTTTAATTAAAAATATTTAAAGATAATGTTTCTAATGTGTGAAAATCTCAGTAAATGTTCAACCATTCCTTTTCTTTGGGATACAAGATATACTAACAACATTTAATTCCTTAATTACATATCATCAATATCAATCAATTTTATTTGATTATGTTGATTATGTTGTAATAAGAGGATTGAATTACACATTACTCCGTTTGTCCGTTTTAATTGTACGAATTTGATTTTTCCATGTAGTTTGAGTTGAATTTTTTATACTGAACAAATAAATAGAAAATGAAAACAAATTTCTATTAAGTAAAATTACTTAAGAAAAATTATATATAAAAAGAATTTTTAATTATCACTCATTTATTAAATAAAAATATCAAGTCAAAATTAACAAAACTAAAAAGGAAAATTGGAGTACAAATTGAGAGGAATACTAACAAAAAGATGGACTAAAATCTGCACATGGCCAGAGTTGAAAGGAGAAACTAGAGAGGAGAGATTTTTTTTTTTTTTAACAGGATTATATTTGGGAAAAAAGGAATGGGGAATCTCGAACCTGAGTCAATGAGAATTTCTTATTAAAGAGAGTTATTACTACTCTATTCCGAAGTTTTCACTGAGAGACTTTGAAACGGTTTGGTGTGACTTGTGAGAACTTGTGTTTTTCTAATATTATTATAAGTGATAAGTTTAAATTTTTATTGAAGAAAAAATAGAGTTTTAGTTTTTAGAAATATGAAAAAATAAGTAAAAAGTAAATAAAAAAAGAATTTATAAAAAATTTAGATTTAAAATTTTTAAATTTTTACTGTTTAAAAATCTTTTGAGATTAAAAAAATATTTAAAAATGTAAAATTTTAAAAAAAAAATTTAATTCTTGAGATATAAATAGTATCCAAAAACTAAAACTAATAGGAGGTGATCCAAACAGGCCCTTCTTCTAAGATCACTGAAATGATTATTATCTATAACGGGGAACAGCATCAGCACATAGTAATCATTTTATGTAGGGTACTTGCAAATTCATATTAAGATTATATACAATTAAGTACAAGTACAAGAAAAACATAAAATAATTTTTGTAGAGTACTTACATATACATATTAAAAATTATTTTTAAATAAACAAATATATATTAAAATTATATAATTAAATATAAAGAAATAACATTAACAAAATATCATTCGTAATAATAAAACACATAATTTAAAAAAAATTCAATTTTATAATTTAAATTGAATCAAATTATAAATTAAAAATATTTAAATTAAAAAAAATAATTTCAATATCAAAACACTGGTATTTTATCTATTAATTAATTTTGTACGTTTTAGTTGTACAAAACATTTGTGATCTCTATATGTCTTCAACGAGCACATTAATGGTAGGTAGCAATTGGGGGAAAATGGGAAATTGACAGGACCTTTTAATATCCTAATTGGGTAATCTGCCTCTTCGTTGGAAAATAAAAAGGTGGAGCCCTATTCAAAAAAAAAAAAAAAAAAAGGAAGAAAAGAAAAAAAAAGGGCACCGCCGGCGAAGTCAAAGTTTTTGAGCCTACCCTTTCCTTGTTTGTCACAGAGGCCTCTTCTATCTTCTCCATATTTATTGGGCTAGAGTTTCATGGTGTACATCTTACCATGGGGAAGAGGTAGCCCCACTCTCAACCTTCCTCCCAATCTGATCCAATTGTTACAACACTAATGATTTTTGAAAATAGGCAATGGAACACTAATGATTAATCACACTAATTGGATAACACGTCATTTGTTTTTATCAAATTGAACAAAACCTATAAACCTAAGCACACATATTACCTATTTAGGCATTTATGATGTTTTTTTTGAAATTTTGGGAAATAGGCATTAGGCAGTTATGATGTTGGACCATGACAATTGGTAGTTTAAGCCCACCCAGAATGTGTATGGGACTCACTCGGTGAGCTCTTGACCGAAGTTAGGCCTTAAACTCTGATCTAAATTTAATACTATTAAAAAAAATTGGACCTAAAAAGACGCATATCCAATCACATAATGCCCATTTCACTTTCTCCATAATAAGTGAGGCAAAAACTTATTTTAGGTCCTCACCTTATTAAATTTGAAGATTTTAGTTCCTTACTTTATATTATAACACTTTGAACTCCTTACCTTACTAGATTTATAGGTTTTAACCCCTCACTTATTAAAATCAAAGAAAATTGCCCTCACTTTATATTGATTGTTAACTTTGTTAGTTAAAAATAAATTTTTATCAACTAACAGTTAACTAATAGTCAATTAACAGAATTAACGAAATATTATAAAGTTAGTTCTATTAACTCTGTTAACTGATAGCTAAAAAAAGATTTTTAACAACTAACAATCAATTAACAGTCAGTTAATAGAATTAACAGTTAATTAATAAAACTAACAAAATATTACAAAGTGATGGTTATTTTCTTAAATTTTAATAAATAAGGGATTAAAAGTGTTAAAGTATAAGGTGAGGGGTTAAAACCTACGAATCTAGTAAGGTGATGGATTAAAAATGTCATTATATAAGGTGAAGGGCTAAAATCTTCAAACTTGACAAGGTGAAGGGCTAAAAGTAAACTTTTGCCAATAAATGATGTTACTTTCAAAAAAATTTTAAGAAAACGCCCATTTTCATGTGTAATTGCGTGAAAAAAGTAGGTAAATTAATATTTCAAAATAATCTTTTCTGATAAATAAGTCTATAATAGAATTTTAGTGATAAATAAACTTTTAAAGTTATAATTTATAATATATGTGACAGTGAATAATGAAATTTTAGTGATAAATGAATTTTTAAAGTTGTAGTTTGCAGTATATGTGACGGTGAATGAAGAGGGTTACTAGCTACTAGCTAGTCATGTTCCCTAATATGTAAATCCATCATTTTCACTTGGGTACATTTGCTCTTATTATTATTATTATTATTATTATTATTATTGTTGTTGTTGTTGTTGTTGTTGTTGTTATTATTATTATTATTCATAGAGAATTTGGGGAAGTGGGTTTTGCTTTCAAGTGTCCTAGGTGGAATTTGAACACGGAACATAGGAGGCCCTGAGCTATTTTTTTTTTTTTTTAACAAGAGTAATGGTTAGGAAGTTAGTAAATTAATTGTTAGTAGTTGGTTCTCAGATCGGGTAAATATTCCACCCCCTCAAATGAGACGCGCAGTCATTAGGCTGCATTTTGATGAAATTCACGACGGTGGTGGAGCTCGAAGATCCGACCGCCATCTCACCCAAGCACTAAAACTTGAAGACCAACTATTGGACCACAAGGCCAAGTTCCCAAGCCATTATGGTACAACCGCATAAAGATAAACCAATAGATCTATAAGTCTAGTCGAACTTTAATGACAATAAGTCATCAAAGTTTCGTTGCTTTAAATGCCACATGTGCATGCTGCGTCACTGACCGTCTCTATCCACTTTGGAAACATTTGTTACAAATTATAACTTTAGAGAATTTTTTACCACCTATTAACAAATGAAATAATTCATAATTCATGAACTACTTAAGTTAAACTCGATTTAAACTTGACTCATTAGATAAATAAATTAAACTT